GTGTCGAGTAGACAATTATGAAAGGTAGTTGCCACGATTGCTAGTTACCCTCATTTGTACATGTGTGTATCTCTGAAATTTTCCAGGGGTACCTATGACGGGGAGTACCACAATCAACATTTAAATCAAAGATCAGTAGTCAGCCAGGAGATGAAGATCAGTACGTTCCAGAATTATATTCATTCAGTGAACACTTTATTTCAGAAAAGTGTTTTCGTTCCGTCAGTATTAAATCATCAACTCACTTAATTGTGAATTGTTGATTTCTCAGTTAAAGATCAAGTCTAATGTTCAGTATTCAATACTGAATTCTCAAGTCATGTCAGCAATAAGTATAAGCTTTATATTAAGCTTGTACATTTCAGTTTAGTATTTCCGAGGACGGAAATATTTTAAGGGGGGTGGATTGTAACGCCCCGTAATTTATTAATAAAGGAAAATACTAGCTTTTAATATTAAGCTAGCCTTTGTTAATAAAAAGTTATGTTCATGTTCTAGATCAAGAAATTCAGTCAGTAATAATCCAAATTCGATTATTAATCGATATGTTATTCGGTTGGATAAATCGAATAAGTTTTCAGATTTTAATTCCGATTCATTTAATTAGTTAATGAGTCTGGAATTAATAAGTCAAGTTGACGAATTATTCGAAATATTATATTTGGATAAATCGTCTAAGTCAAGAATATTCGGATTAAGTTTCGAATGTCATGTTCATGTTCGGAATAATTTTCCGATACTTAATTCAGTTAAGGTTTCATATGTCAAGTTCAGTTTTCCTATACAGCGGTGTGTTCACATTGGTACACCGTCTATCGTTAATTAAGTAATGGTCATTAACCTTGCTTAATTAACTTAATCATGTTTAAGCTAATTAATCGAGATTAGCTTAAGATAATCATGATTAGCTTAATGTTAATTAAGATTAATTAACATTAATGAGGATTAATTAAGAGATAATCGTGTTTAAGTTTTTCATAAGCGAGTCATTAACATGTTATTAGCACGCCTTAAGGTGCTGATCATTAGTCATGCAATTAGTAGTGATTATGCGCCTTAGTATGGCCATTAGTGGGCATAACAGCCCTTAGACCAATAAGTGCCGAAAGCAAGGGGATGCTCAAGGTTCACATGAGGCTCATGATAGTTTAGGTACACATGGCAGCAAATAGTGCAATTGTACTATGACTAAGCATTCAAGTGGCCACATAAGGCCTTATGCACACGGCAATTGGCGTAAGCCTATTGGCTATGTCTTGCTATCATTTTTTCTCTTAATATAAGTACTCTTTTTAAAGTGGAGGTTTCAGCAGCAAGTTGGGAGAAAATTCAGTTCTTCTTAAGTTATGCTATTAACACGTAATAAATAAGATTAGCTCCAAGCATATGCTCGTACAAGCATGGAGACGAGAGATCATGGCCAGTCATGGAGAAATTCAGCGAACACTTAGCAAGGTAATCTCGTGATTAGAATATTTTCATAGTAATATGATCAGTATAGATGTACATGTTCAGCTCATGTCAATCGAATCATATAAAATTGAGTTCTTCGGTTTTGGGGCATATTAAGCCATAACCGAATGATACTTAGTTCTAGTCAGATTTCACCGAGTAATTCATGTGTAAGTA